ATCCTTCGACAGTTCTACTTCTGCAAATGTCTACTTTCAGAAAATGTAAAAAAAAGAAATCGAATTTTTTGAAAAGTCTAGACTAGAATACCCCCTTTCGACAAGTGTCCTAATTCTTAAGAAATACGTAAGTTTCAAGTCACGTGACGTTGTACCGGGTTAACCCTTTAATTACTACTGGCGCCTGTAGGTATTTTGAAATTGTGTTTGCACCACATCGTATCAGCTTTCTGCTGCACTTCCATCTGTAGGCATTTTGGGACGGTTTGTGGCTTGGCCTGCGCCTCTTGGCCCATCGGTTCGGCCCAGCGATAATTTTTGCCATTCGACGAGAGTCGGCGCCTCTTGGCGAGTGACAAACACCAGACCCGAGTACCCATCGGTTCGGCCCAGCGATATCTTTGCCATTCGACGAGAGTCGGTTCTTAGTTTCGGTAATAGACGGACACCGAAGAGTCCGAAATAAACTACTTTGCACGACATCCTGATTTGAGTAAAGTTCATTAGACCACCTCCTACACATCTGAATTTAATAAACCGACTTTGAAAACGATACGACCGGCGAGTCACCCAGGTTGCGCGTTAAAATCTGGCGTGGCGAAAGGGTTAACGATAGAAACTGAAGCAACCACGCGGCAAAAGAGGACATCGAGAAGTCTCCACGAAAAGGAATCAGTTCGCGATGGTCGTCGGAATTCCACCCACCGAAACTGAAATATTCCCTCTTCTTTGACCGATTATTTATGAAACGTCACTCGTTAATTTATGTTTACTCGTCTGCTTACCGGGGCCCCGCGTCTCTCTGTCTTCTTTTCGGATTATTTTTCCGCCATAATTCATACGGCACACCACGCATGCCCTACAAGGGGGCGCGTTTGCATTCGGTGCGACAGAAAGTTATAAATGATCGAAAGACAACTTAACTCGAACGTAAGCGCGAGTATTCATCGGCGAAGGCTGCTTTGACGTAGACATATCTACGGTTGAAGTCGAGCCATCCACGCGGACGTGGAGAGCGAGAGAGCCACGCTCTGTGTGTGTCGTGCCAACTTCTCCCCGGCCGGCCGACAGAAAACCAAGAGAAACGGAGAGAGAGAGAGAGAGAGATGGAACGAGAAAACAAAGCTATTAGTCGTAAGAACCGTAGATATATATCTTATTGTCTCCAGCCGCTAGACGGAATTACAGCGTACCCTTTAACTCCGTGGTACCCTATGGGAATCCATTCGTGGAGCGAGCGTTATTAAGCCGACACTACAGTCCCGTGACTATCCGCCACTCTTCCATAGGGACACATCCATCGCTAAACAGAAACCAACGACCGTGCCGTGTTTCTTCCAACTCCCTTACGAGCTTGACACTTTCTTCGAAAAAAAGAAGAAAGGAAAAATACTCCTTTTCTGACAAGACAACGGTGCTAGAAACTGCGAGATAAACGTTACACGAGGTACGAAGCAATCTGTCGTTTAGCGCAAATAGAGGAAAAAGGAAGGGAGAGATGACGCACCTCTCGTTTACTCGAATATCTCTATCTCGTCACTGGCGAAACGAAGGAATAAAAAAAGAGCGACTATAGTGGAATTATCGGTAGATATATATCTCATTGTCCCCGGGGTTGGGTATACCAGAAATTCCGTGGGTTTAAAGATCCACCATTCCACCGATCGTCGTCCTCCTGGATCGTCGTTGTCGTGGTCTATGGGGGCCCCCACGAAGATACGTTATTAATCGGCCGATGTCAGTGGTTCGACCCCTCATAGAGAACCCATAGGACCCCGTTCGGTAAAAGGGACAACGAAGGCGGTTCTTCGATGCGAGGGAGTATATACCCGGGGCCCTGAGAAAAGACAGAAGCGTGTGAGGAAGAAAAAGGTGGAAAAAGAGGGAGCAAAGGAGACGAACTAACCTGAGAAAGAGGTAGGAAAACGGAGAATGAAAGAAAGAAGAAGAAGAAGAAGAAGAAGAAGAAGAAGAAGAAGGGAGGGGGGGAAACAGAAGAATGGGACTCACTTCGTGCATGACCCAAAGAAACCCCCGCTGAGCGACTCGATCCGATCCGCTGATCCCCGACCGCGCTGACGCAGATACCATCTTTCCTTGCACTCCGAATGCTCTCCGGGCGTTTCTTACCGCCCATATACCTCGCTCCTCTCTCTCTCCGCGAGAACACCGGCTCGAGCAAAGAAGAAGGGAATATTCTATCCGAGACAGCTATATGACCGCACTGATTTGTCTGCTTATTGTTGCCGTTCTCCGTCTCCTTGTTCTCCCCGATCGTGACGATGACGCGACCGTCCCCGTCGACATTCTTACCCGCGAATTTCGCGATTCCTTCCTCCTCCTTCCTCTCTTCTACCTCTCACGACGATTGCTCCTCTTAGCGTAGAGTAACGAGATAAAATAGCGAACGAGTTGTTCGAGGTTTGATCTACCTGAGATCTTCGAAAGATCGAAGGATGGAGGACGATGGAATTTTGGAAGAGATCGCGTGAAACCGTTTTTTTTTTTTTTTTGGTAGCTTCCTGGTTGGAGGAATGTCGCATAAATTTGGTGGTTCCTTAGAAATCGTTAGAGAGAATTGCTCGGAAGTTGGAGAGAGAGGCTGGTAAGGATTAATTGTATTCGTGTTCGAGCTACTTAAAGGAGGCAGAAACTACTACACAAGATCCGGTATTAATAATTAAATAAGGAAATTTATTCAGAAACGTCGTGTCACGTTTGAAAATCGTACGTTTGACTGTGAACGAGAGGACAGGACCGAACCGACCATTGTTTCGTAATTCCCCGTGGTGTATGTAGGATATACGTACGTACGGTTTACCTCGTGGCACGCCTAAAACGTACGAGGGCAATAATCGATGGCACGCAGTTTGTCAATGACGACCGAACTTCGACTAATTACTAGGAAGATCGATGCGTTCCAACCGGGGATTACGTAAGCTTAAAGATCACCTACATGTACATGCTTCCATATTTAGTATTCTTCGACGTCGTGAGATCGTGTCGGTTATGAAGGAACGAATCGTGAGTAGAATTAACGAGAGCCACGAGTGCTGTGCTACTCTTCGTGTTTCTTCTTCGACGTTTCTCCTCGTTTTCTAAAACGAAGATTCCGATTCGAGAGGGAATCGTACCGAAAAAAGAATGGAAAGAACTGATTTCAATGGTTTTCTATTCTACGCACGATTCGATCACTGTTGACCAACATTCTACGCGGAGAATTTCAAATTTCGCGGTTGTCAATTCGATAAATTTTTGAGAGAGAATCGTCGCTCGAGTGACGATTCCCATCGATCGTCAAAGATGTTACCAAGGTTCTACGCGGAGAATTTCAAAATTTTCTGTGGTCAGTTTAATAAATTTTTAAGGTTATGTTAGATTAGACGTTATCAGGATTCCAACGCGAAGAATTTCAAATTTCGCGGTTGTCGGTACGATGAATTTTTAAGGTTAAGTTAAGTTAAATATTACCAAGATTCTACGCGAGGAATTTCAAATTTCGCGGTTGTCAATTCGACAAATTATTAAGGTTAATTTAAGTTAAATATTACCAAGATTCTACGCGAGGAATTTCAAATTTCGCGGTTGTCAATTTGATAAATTTTTAAGGTTATGTTAGGTTAAATATTACCAAGATTCTACGCGAAGAATTAAGAAAATTTGCGACGGTCAGTTCGATAAATTTTTAAGGTTATGTTAGATTAAATATTACCAAGAATCTGCGCGAAGAATTTCATACTTCACTTCGATAAATTTTTAAGGTTATGCTAGGTTAAATATTACCCAGATTCTACGCGAAGAATTAACACAGTTCGAGGTGGTCAGTTGGACAACTTTTTGAGGTTAACTTAGATTTAACGTTACCAAGATACTACCCGAAGAATTTCACACTTCACTTCGATAAATTTTTAAGGTTATGTTAGATCAGACGTTACCAGTATTCCACGCGAAGAAATATTTAAACTTCGCGCTGGTCGGTTCGGCAAAATTCTCAAGAAAGAACCGCAGAACGGACCCGTCGATCGTCGAGGATGTTGGAGCAACTTAGCGAAACGATACTTTTCCAATAGTTCCGTGGTAGGTTGCGCGCTCGCGCGCTCCTCCGTTGTTCATCCGTGTGCCGTCGTTTCGATACACTGGCTTCTGGTAGTCACATAAACCTTGGCCGCTGACGTGACTGAGAATTTAATGAAATGAGACATGCACAAGTCGGATCGAAAAACTAACTTTCTCACGATTCTTCGCATGCATACCGTGACTTCGGCGCAACAACGGCCCGTAGATTTATATTGATTGCACATAATTATATCCTGGCGACTGACAAAACTTCCAGACATCGTGTATTCCCTCCTCCCCTCTATCCTATCTTTTACCGTTTCACGCGCAGACCATCGCGAGAAATCCTCTATCGATTAAAAAAGTCCTGGATCGAATTAACCAACAGCGAAACAACCGTGCTTCGACTGTTTACAAATTCGATCTAGGCAATTCTGCATACTTAAGAAGAATTTCACCGAAATGAAGATAAGAATTTAACTTAAATTACTGTACGATCGCAAAAACCGTGGAACCTCCAAAAGTCCCAAATTTCAGATAATCAATTTTTCTCGTCAAATTTCCGTAAAAATACATTAAGCAACATTTCTCAGTAACCCAAAAAAATAACAGTATTGATTAATCAATACTTGAACGACCTTTAATGACAGCACACCGAAATCGCCGCAACAGTTACTATCGCAAAGCGACTAAAAAGACACAGGATCCCATTAAAAAAAAAAAAAGTACAAATGACCTTGAGATCTCTTCTACTGTTCGTCGATTAACGCGCGAATTCCTCCCTCGTAATACCGTAATTAATTAATCCAGCGAGTTCTAATCCACGCATAAAGAAGGATCGAAAGGACTTTCAGCCCTGAAATCATCCACCGTCTCTCCCTCCCTACCAGCAGCGTGTAATTACGAGCAATTCTCAAGGATCGAACAAAAATTTTTAATTACAGGTTCGCGTGACGGTTCTAGACAAGAATGACGTGGCACCGACCTGGGGTACGGGCACCTGGAAATTCAAAATCTCCGAGGAGGCACCCCCGAACACCGTGGTGACCGTACTGAAAGCGTTCGATCCGGACACGATCGGTACGCTGACATACACCCTGGTACCGAATCATCGCGTCGGTCCTGTTAACACCGACAACAATCGGTACGAGCCGGAGAACGAAACCGAGTGTCAGTTCAAGCTTCATCCTACCACGGGACAACTGACTCTCGCGGAGGCGCTCGACAGAGAAACCCGGGAAAAGTATGTCCTGAAAGTTCGAGCCGATGATGGATTGCAGCACACCGACATCACGTTGACCATTCAGGTAAGTCTCGTTTCCATATATCATCCTCCCTCCTCCCCTGCGTCTTTCCTCGCCGGCCATTTCTTTTCTTCATCTTTTTCTATCCGAACGCGATTGTGCGCCTAATTAGAAAGGTTTGCGCGATCCTTTTAACGCAATTATTCACGGGGCTGGATTTAACCGGGGCTCGTCTTTCCGATGATTAACAATTGTGTTCGATTGCCGGGATAACGTATCGAAGAGTGCCTTGGTGGTGATTCGATCGAACGAAGGAATGTTGTTCGTGAGATTTTTGTTGTTTTTTTCTGTTTGAGAAACACAGTCGGGTTAGGGTAAAGGGACACAGAGAGACGAAGGACTCTGGTACCGTTGTGGATTGATTAAAGTGTAATTAGAAGGGGGATGCTACTGTTACCTCGCCTGTTATGGTCGAGCGTGCCGTTATTTTAACGCTATTCACTATCGCGAGGAATTCACTATCTGCCTTTGTGATAAATCGATCCTGGTAGATGATGTGTCAACGAGAACGATTAATATCGATTAATATTGATAAAGAAAAACGTAACTCTCGCTTGAGAGAGAAAAATTGATAAAACTTCTATCCCAACGAGAGTAGAAATTGGAAGCTGTGCACCGTTGATGCAACAACGTTGCATAACCTGAATCCAAAGTCTCAATATCTCAAGTACCACCTTGCAAGCGGTGCACCATCGAATCACGCGGTTATCCGTGCGTTCCGCCTTATAATTCATTACGCTGGCCAACCGAAACGATTCGCGGCGATAAAAAACGCGAAGAAGGGCGGTCAGTCGTTTAACGAAGGTGGAAGCCACCAATAGTGGTGGTAGTGATGGTGGTGGGTAGCAGTGAAGAACAGGAGGAGGAGGAAGAGGATGAGAAGAAGAAGGAGGAGGAGGAGGAGATGGAGGTAGAAGTGGCCCAGGCGAAGATCCTTCGGAGACAATCGCAAAAATTATCCTTATGACGTGTAATGGCTGGAATTCTTTTAAGGTTCTCGCTGCCCGCCGTCCGCTATTCTATCCGGGTCTCTTAAAGGCAAAAGGAATGCCAGTCCCGATCATAGCTCGGCTCTTTGGGGCTCCATGAAAGAGGCCCGCTGCCGACAGTTGCGGAATCTGCCCCTTCTGGCCCCTTATATCCCCTCCTCCTCTCTCCAGTCGACCTTAGAAGAGTTTCTCTCCATCGACCTCCTCTCCTTCCACCCTAACAATCTCTCTCTCTCTCTCTCTCTCTCTCTCTCTTCCCTTTCGTCCTCGTTTCTCTATCTCTCTCGGTCTGGACTTCTTCTTCTCTTCCTCGTCCTCTTCCTTCTCTCACAGTTGGTCATCGTGGTCGTCTTTCTACTCTGCTTTCGGGTTCTCTCCTCGTCATCCAGCGCGTCTCGAGGCAACCGTCACTTTTTGCAAACGTCTCCGAACCCTCCTTAATCAAACCGTGCCCACCTCCGCTTTATTCTTTTATACCGCCACCGCGTGTCGATCCCTCTCGACGCTGGAAACCTATTCACCGGACGCACTCTGACTTCCGAGCGGACCACGCCACACATCTCCTCGAGACGTTCCTCCACCGCCATGAGATAGAAACAGCCTGATGTCTGTTATTCGACGATCTCGACTAGCCACGCGAAAAATCTCCAGTCGTCCATCCAAACTTTCGCTTCGATGCAACTTTCTTCTTCTCTTTTCTCTACACCCTTTTTATTCTTTTGCTTGGTTTTCGGTACGTTCTCGAGGAAGAGAAGTTCCGATCTGATTCTATTTCGAAGAGTTACGATACAGCGGACACGAAGCGATGCAGCAAGTTGCAAGCAAGATTTTCTCTCCGGTGATTCTCGTGAGATATTTACTTAATTCTCGTTATAAGAGCGACCCTTTTGGTTGAACGTTGAAGCAACATTTCGCTTGTTTGATTATACCACTACCAAGAATCGAGCTGCTATAAAATTTCTTCTCGAAAAAACATTCTTTAAATTCCACCGGGGAGACTGTCTCGAGGTTCATCGCCACCGCAAAAACAACAGAAAACTTTCTTCGAAGCTTCAAGTGGTGCGGCGAGGTTCGAAGGTGAACCACGGCAACCGGTTGTCTCGAGCTTTGATTGAAATATGTTTATTCAGGAACGACGTCGAGTACAATCGAAAGAGAACAGGAAGCGTTAGCTCCGATTCTGAATTGTTTATCCTGACCCGTTACCTTTCTTCTTCTTCTTCTTCTTCTTCTTCCTCTGCTTCGTCTTCCTCTCTTCCCTCGAATCGGAACGAAGCAACAGCCCCTCTCGAAAAGGACGAATCGAGTATGATCAAGAATAACATCAATTATTTCCGACTGTCTCGAGTTCCTCGTACGAAAACCCGGGGAAGAGCCTGTTCTGGTCTAAAAATCGAGCACTACGCGCCATTTTGGTACTCCGTTTAAACGCAATTGGCGGGAATTTGAAAATTAAACGAGGAGAATCCGAAAAGTGGATGTCATCGATACATTCTCTGGATTTTTCCTCTTGTCCCGAGTTCCTCGTGATAAAACCCGGAGAAGAGCCTGTTCTGGTCTAAAAATCGAGCACTACGCGCCATTTTAGTACTCCGTTTAAACGCAATTGGTGGGAATTTGAAAAATAAGTTTTTGACTTTTTTTCCAATTTTGTCTCGTGATAATCAAGCTATATTTAAAAAAAAATGAATTATTGCACATTTTTCAGGTGACAGACACAAACGACAATGCTCCAACGTTCCAAAGCACCGCCTATTCCTTCGACGTTCCAGAAAACATGCCAAGAGGAAGTCGAATAGGCCAGGTCGTCGCAACAGACGCCGATGCCGATGGCCCAAATAGTCAACTGAGCTACACCCTGATCTCAGATTGGGCTAACGACGTCTTTTCTCTAAATCCTAGTACCGGAGTGTTCACTCTGACCGCGAGCCTCGACTACGAACAGGTTCGTACGATCGATATTGTCAATCGTGTTAGAAAAGTGGCGTTTTAGAAAGTGTCTTCGGATGATGTGTAACGAGGGTCTCGATGAATTTTCGGTGATTTTTCACGGTGTGTCGCTTTCACCATGGAAATTTCCTAGATTAGACACGTCTCTACTATTTCTAAATCGACCAGATGTCTAAATGACGTCTATTTGTAGGTTGAGAACGCCGCTATTTCTGTCGTCTCTTCGTCTCGATTCGAAACGTGATTAGAAATTAGCTTTGTCCGAGATAATTTCTTTAATTTCGTCGAAATTACCGGGGAACGGATACAGCGATGCATTGTCACAAGAGAGATACCTTTTCTCTCGTCTCTTCTCGCCTCTTCCCGTCTCTTCCATTGAGAAAATTCGAAGGATGAGAGTTTTTGTTGCCGCGCGGTGTCTGATCGACACACAGAAGAGATAGGTACGACGTCCACGCAACAGAGAGGTCCACATACGGTAAAACGCATAGGTTGCCTGGGGCAACGATTATAACCATGAACACGCCTCTACATTCAAGCTCAAGCGCACCTATTATATTAGCTTTCGACTAGAGGAAGGCTACGGTAGAATTTAGGGTTTAGCGCTAACAGTCCGACAGATCGATCAACAGACGTATCTTAATGGCAGCTAAAAAAAAAAAGCCATACTTACTCACTGAGACGTGTCCATTTTGCTCAACAGCGTCACCAACAATATCTATCTTCAGCTATTTCCATCGCGTTTTCGAATCTTTGCGGTGAGAGACCGTGGGACGTCGAGCGATGCTCTTATTTACTTCTGTGACCCACCGTGGGGCATCGAGTAACGCTTTATTTCCCTCCGTGACCCACCTACGGGTTATCGAATAATGCTCTTATTTCCCTCTGTGACACATGATGGGCCATCGAGTGATGCTCTTAATACCCTCCGTGACCCACCTATGTATTATCGAATAATGCTCTTATTTCCCTCAGTGATCCATCTATGGATCATCGAGTGATGCTGTCATTTACCAAAGTGACCCATAGTGGGCCATCGAGTGATGCTCTTAATACCCTCCGTGACCCACCTATGTGTTATCAAATTATGCTCTTATTTGCCCATCTGACCCACCATGAGTCATCAAGCGATGCTCCTATTTCTCTTCGTGACCCACATAAGGGTCATCGAATGACGCTCCCATTTACCAAAGTGGCCCATTGTGGGCCATCGAGTGATGCTCTGATTTCCCTCAGTGACCCACCATGGGTCACCACCTTACTCGATAATATTCAAAAACACGCGAGTTAACGTGAACTTCAATCGACAGACTCTGCAGGTACCTCAAAAGTTTCTCGAATTAAAATTGGCTAGACCGAAGGAACAGCTACGCCACTGGTGTATATTTTTCGGTACATCGTATAATATTGTCTAATATAGAGGTACCAACGGCGATCGCGTTTCGGCGAGACGAACGATGCACGAAGACCGGCGCGTTGCATAGAGAGAGGGTAGTTTATAGAACCCTTCATCATCGTAATGCCTTTCCAAGCATTTCACAGTTCAGTCCAGCGAGATCGGCGAGCATTGGAAACAGAGAAACAACACGTTGCTTCCACGAAACTCGTATTAGTCCTCGCGAAATTGTTGGGTGCAGCTCGTAAGAGAAACCTGGTGTGCAGAGCGGAAGAGCTTGATCTAACGGGAGCAAAAAAGTTTCCCTTAAAACGCCGGTTCAGGAAACCGTTCCTCGAAACGACTAACCCCTTTTTTCTTCTCCTTTCTTCTCTTTCTTTCCTCCTAATAATAATAGAGTCTTTTATATTAACCGGATAATTTTATTTCCTTTTACTTTGTATTTATCCGCCAGCTAGTCGATACCTTATTAAGCAACTCTGTTAGCGTTGCGAATGTGTTACCCAACGATGTGTCAGGTTCTTTCGGACTTTTACGCGTTACGCTTTAAAAATCGTAATGCAGGAAGGATCTCGTTAAAATAAAAATAAGTATCCGAATGAGACAGCGATAAGTGAATTGCTCCTTACGCGGCATAATTCATAACAGTCGCCTCCATTTTTTACCATTTCTCTAGACTTATCACCGAAGCGTAACTTTTTATAAATAAAGCAAATCACTTCGATAATTCTATTTATCGCGGGAAGAATGGAAAATTCTTTCGAGCCCATTTCAGAAGGCGTTGCAAAAAATAGATAAATAATAGGAACGAATATTTGTAACGACAAAAGTTTTGGAAAACACAGTACAGTGGAGTCTCGGTTATCCGAGTCCCGTTTAACCGAGATTCCGTATCATCGGAGGTTCTTTGAACTTGAATAAAATGCAAAAATTGCATTATTTTTTAGGGTCGATGGGTGTTCATAAATCGTGCAATAAAATCATAAAAAACATTTTCATATTAACTATTTAATAAATAGTTAATTAAACCTAAATACATGTACAATTATCAAAAGGTTTTTTATGACTTTCTTGCGCGACTTATAAACACCCATCGATCCTTCCCTATTATCCGAGTTTTCGATTATTCGAGGTAGGCTCGATCCACATCACCTCGGATAGTCGAAACTCTACTGAGCAGCTCGTAAACGTTCACCTAAATAAATCTTCATCGCCGAAAATATGAATTTTCAATTTTACGTAGGATTGGTCCCAAAAAGAAATTCTACCGGTTAAATAAAAGAGAGGAAAAGAAAAGAGAAAGACGTACCTTGACGATTTCACAGGTGCAACACTACATTCTGGTGGTCCAGGCGACGGATGGCGGTATTCCAGCGCTTTCCTCGACCGTGACGGTCTACTGCAACGTAGTGGATCTGAACGACAACGCGCCGATCTTCGAGGCGGGGCCACACGCCGCGGATATCGTGGAGAATACAACGATCGGCACCCCGATCCTATCCGTGGCCGCACAGGACCTCGACTCCGGCGATAACGGCAGGGTAATTTACGCTGTCGCCGGCGGTGACGAGAACGGTGACTTCGGAGTGGCACCGAACGGCACCCTCTTCACTCGCAAGTTGCTCGACAGAGAACAGAAGCCCCTTTACAATTTGGTCCTCAGCGCTACGGATAGCCCTCTGCCACCGGCTCGTCCTTTGTCCTCCACCGTGCAGGTGAGTTTTATTCATCTGTAACCAGATAAAAAAGAGCAAACGTTTATTTCAACCAACGACCATTTTCGTTGTGTGCAGAGTAGGTGAACTTGGTAGAGGTGCCAGAGAACCCGGGGAAAATGTCGAGATTCGTGCGGTTTCAGTTTTTCGACTTTTCAAGCGTTTTCGAAAACAGCGTTATAAAATTTCTTTACTCGCTTATATTTACTTATTTAATTCCGAGACTTTCGGAAATCTAGACACTTTTGAGAATCCCGTCTCTCCCGAGGATTCCGTCTCTCCCGATAATCCTGTCTCTCCAAAAATTCTGTCTCTCCCAATAATCCTGTCTCTCCCCAAAAATTCCGTCTCTCCCGAGGATTCCGTCTCTCCCGGTAACCCTGTCTCTCCAAAAATTCCGTCTCTCCCGAGGATTCTGTCTCTCCCGATAATCCTGTCTCTCCCCGAAAATCCCGTCTCTCCCGAAGATCCTTAACATTCTCGGGAATTCCGACTCTTTTGAGAATCCCGTCTCTCTCGATAATCCTGTCTCTCCCGATAATCCCGTCTCTCCCGAGAATCCTGAACATTCTCGGGAATCCCGACTCTTTTGAGAATCCCGATACTTTCGAGAACACGTCCCGATCCCAGAAAAAATTTCCCTCCCTCCCCAACCTGATATTTTCGGGTTCTCGTACACCTCTAAAACCTAGATGAAAGTGTAGTATCTTCAATGTGCAGTCGGTAGAAGAAATACAGCGGGACAGTAAAATCAGGTGACAAAGTTTACAGGTTCAGGTATAACAACAAGAGAATCGAGAGGAATCTGAAAGGATAAAGGCTCGAAACCATGAAGTATGCTTTAGTTTCGATCCAGACCTAATGCAAAAACCTAAAATACCACCTGCTGACCTTGGGTGTCACTGCATCAATCAGTGCCGCTACTTAATGCTTTAATTTACGACTTCGCTACGTTTCTTCCACCGACTATACATTTCTTTAGGCACTCATATGTGTGTCGAATGGATACGTAAAAACTTGCTAGGTTTTAACACCTTTTGTCTTTACAATCGCTGGTATAGTTAGTTGAAGCGAGATCGTAAAACCGGTCAGGCGTTAAAGTACACGTAATCCGAGCATCCGAGTAACAATACCACGGAGATGAGGAACTCGAGAATCGTTCATCGCTGTTCCAATTCCTCGATACTTTAAATTAATTAACTCTCACTTATGAACAAACGAGAATCCTTCTGTTCCATGTCATCTTGAGATTGAATTAAATCAAGATTTCCACTTCGTGTCGATATTTTAACCCTTTGACTGCTATCGGCGCCTATAGACGCTCACTGATAATCGAACGCTGGATACTATCAGCGCCCTTCGTATTCATATTCTTCATATTTACATATCACTTATTTCGCAAACATAAAATACGAAATATTCGGCAAACAATGATTTGGCTAACGAAATACATAGTACGACTATTAACGCCTTAAGTCGTACAGAGCTTTACTTTTCGAGTTGCCAGCAGCCAAGGGGTTAACACGTTCACTACCACTTACATTCTTAATATCTATATTTTTCTCACTTTTGCACAATACTATAGATCCCTGCACTTATACGCACACCTAATATTTATCAAACACTCAAACTGTGCATTTTTATAACGTATTACACGTAGATAATACCGTTCTACCGTGTCACACATATGTGACGCTGGGTAGCGAAAGTGTTAAACTGATCAACCGTCGTTTATGGACATAATTCTCCAGAATGATACTGAACGTATGAAAAAAGAACGAAGATCGTAGAGAGATCAGCGTAACACACCGATTGATCGACAGGTGACTGTGGTGTTGCTGGACGTAAACGACATGTCTCCGGAGTTCATATCACCTACGAAGATTTCGATAATAGAGAACGCGCCGAGTAACACGGTGGTGATGGCCATTAAGGCGGTGGACAGGGACGAAGGACGGAACGGATACGTGGAGTACTCCCTCGAGGACACGATGCTCCCCTTCACCGTGGGCTCCGTAGATGGACTACTGCGCGTATCTGGCTCGCTGGATCGCGAATTAAGGTCGAACTACACCTTGGAGGTAACCGCGAAAGACCGTGGTGAACCACCAAGATCGTCCTCGACCACGGTCACTGTCACGGTCCTCGACGAGAACGACAATTCGCCTGTCTTCGACCCCCGACAATATTTCGCCACCGTCGCTGAAAACGCCAGTATCGGTGCAAGTGTTCTCCAGGTTCGTGTATTTCATACTTTTTCTTAAACTTTCTCTCTCCACTATTTTTTTTTTCACGATGACTATCAAACTCTATCTCTCCACTATTTTCTTCACAAAGACTATTGAACTCTCTCGCCATTTATTTCTACACAAAGACTATCAAACTCTCTCCCCGTTAATTTTCTTCACAAAGACTATCAAACTCTCTCCCCTCTATTTTCTTCACAACGACTATTAATGTCTCTCCCCACTATTTTCTTCACAAAGACTATTAATGTCTCTCCCACTATTTGTTTCACAAAGACTATCAAACTCTCTCCCCACTATTTTTTTCCACAAAGACATTTAAACTCTCTCTCCATTATTTTCTACACAACGACTATTAGTGTCTCTCCCCACTATTTTCTTCACAAAGACTATTAATGTCTCTCCTACTATTTGTTTCACAAAGACTATCAAACTCTCTCCCCACTATTTTTTTCCACAAAGACAATTAAACTCTCTCTCCATTATTTTCTACACAACGACTATTAGTGTCTCTCCCCACTATTTTCTTCACAAAGACTATCAAACTCTCTCCCCACTATTTTTTTCCACAAAGACAATTAAACTCTCTCTCCATTATTTTCTACACAAAGACTATTAATGTCTCTCCCAACTATTTTCTTCACAAAGACTATTAATGTCTCTCCCACTATTTTTTTTCACAAAGACAATTAAACTCTCTCTCCATTATTTTCTACACAAAGACTATTAATGTCTCTCCCACTATTTTTTTCCACAAAGACTATTAATGTCTCTCCCAACTATTTTCTTCACAAAGACTATCAAACTCTCTCTCCACTATTTCCTTCACAAAGACTATCAAACTCTCTCCCCACAATTTTCTGCACGACTATTAATCGATCTAGGATGAAAAAGATCAAAACACAACGAGTGTCTCTATTTCTCAATAATTAACCCTTTCGCTACGGCGGAGCATCGCCGCTGAAAAAGACCCCACGCCAAAAGTGTTTACGTCTTACGTCTTCGACTTTGGTTTTCTCCTGCCGGCATATAAAACGAGGGAAAATGTCTCTCTGTTAATCGCACGGGATTATCGTTGCCTCTTCGTTGACGTTGAACTAAATTTCTACGATACTTTTTCAGTATCTCCTTCACGTCGTAACGAAAGGGTTAAAACGCGAAGAAAATATGAAGAAAGTT